ATAATACTTTTTAATAAAAAAAATTTAAAAAACTTAAAACTTTTTTTTGTATTATTGAATTTGATTGGCCGATTTTTTATGTTTGGAAAGTTAGGTCGGATTTCAGGTTGCACAAATTTTTCCAATTCGCCAAAGATTCGAAAAAATAGGTCATGTGATCTTTATTCATTTTAATTGACTAATAAGCCAGAGATATATAAGTTATATATCTCTGGCCAGAGATGCCTAGAAAAACCCTATAATAAATTACAACTTATCATTGATTCGTTTGGCTATTTTTATAATTTTTTTGTTTCTTGATTGTATTTCTTTGATAATTGCTTTTATATATAATGAATAATTATTAAATTTATTTTGTATAAAAAAATCTATTCTTTTAACAAATATCTATCAATAATTTGATTACATTTATTAACTAATAGCTTCATTTTTTTATAATTAAAAGTTTCAATATTTTCAAATTCATTATTGATATTTTCATTCTCAATAGAAATTTTTTCTAAACAATTCAAGATTTCATGCCCATAAATGATTCTAATCACTACAATGAAATAAAGAAAAAATAATGGTTTCATCTTCGTGAATTTTTAACATTTGCTCCTTTTGGTTTATAAACTGGATTATAACTTGCTTTACCATTTGAATTAAATTTTTGTACATAGATTCCACCTGGGTAACTTTTACACATTTTACTGTTTTTATTTAAAATTCGTTCATATCGACCTTTTTTAAAGTTCCATATATATAATTGATCTAATATTCATTCTTCAATAATAATTTGTGGTTGTAATGGTGTTCTAATATTTTTAGTTCATGCACAATTTACAATAACAATTAATAGAAATAAAAAAAACAAAATTTTAACATATATAATTTTGTGAATAGTATTTATATAGATTTTTAAATTTGAATAAAAATATATTGGTTATTATTTGAATGTTTCTGATTGTTTATAAACCATATGACCATTAATATTAATAAAAATATAATTAACCAAAATATTTTTATATTTTTGTATATTTTTTTGTTAATTTTATGAATATTATTCAACTGTTCCAGTATATTTTGAAAGAAAACAATATCTTTATTTTCCCATTCTTTCAATTCTTGATTTATTTTTAAAAGGTTCTCTTTGTCTTTATTCAATGCTAGTATGTGTTGTTGCAAATCATTTTCTTGTTCTTTTAATGTACGATTTATTTTTAAAAGGTCTTCTTTATCTTTATTTAATGCGAGAACATGTTGATGCAAATCATCTTTATTCATTTTTTTTTAAAAAAATAATAATTTAATGTATAATATATTTATTTATAATAAATTATAATAATAAATTTTTTAAATAAAATTTTTTTGTAAAATCTCCATTTTTAAAATCTGATTTAACAATAAAAGTTTTAAAAATAGAATTAAAAAAAGTATTTTTTGAATGTAAAAAAGTAAGTTTAAATGTATATTTATAACAAAAAGTATGTCTGCAAAAATTATTTTTAATTTCTAATTTAGTGAAATTCAACGGGTCATTATAATAAAATGGTTTTTGTTCACAATTTTTAATTTGACAAAATTCAATCATAGTTCCACACTCAAAAGAAAGGTCCATTTTACCACAACGTTTACAGCATCCTTTTAAAATTTCATCTTTAAATTCTTTTTCGTATATGTAAATAAAATTATTTTGTAATTTACAATAAGGTATATTAAATTTGTTGTATAAAATTTTACTTTTAGTTTTTGTTTTATTTTTTCTTTTTCCTTTGAAAAACACATTAATACATTTAATTTCATAAAATATAATGTCTTGATTCATTTTTTCATCTTTTTTATATATTCGGAAAAAAATATGTTTTTCTGGGTCAAGATTTCTTCTGGTCTGCAAACTTTTTAAATAAATTTTATAAAATTGGCGACAGGTTATTTTGATTTTTTCTCTTTGATTCGGTGTGAATAGTTCAAAAATGATTGATAAAATATCATCACTAAGATTTAAAACTATTTTTAAATTGATTTTTTTAAATAAAATTTAGACATTTAAATAATTTTTTATTTTCTCTGAGTCAGTTTTAATTTTTATTTAATATATATATTTAAATACAACAAATTTTCTTTTTCTAAAGATCCTATATTTATTGATATAATTCAAGAGTAGATTTTTTAACTACAGAATTTTTATCAGGTTTACCATATTCAAATGGTCCAACAATTGATTTATCACCTTCAATTCGTTTTCTAATTTCATTATTATCTTTATCTAATTGATAAAATTTTTTATCTAATGTATGATATGTTCTTTTTTTTTTGAAAAAATTCAGTTTTACAATAATTTGAAGCTGATTCAAAAGATCCTAAAGCAATTTCAAAATGAATATTTGTTTGTTTGAAAATATCCTTGTAAATGTAATCTTTTGTACTAGGACATTCTTCATATTGACTAATAAAATAATTAAATATTTCATATTTTTCAAAATTTTTAATGTTGTAGGAGTTGAACGTTTACATTCAATTCCTTGTTCTTTACATAAAGAACATATAATATTATTATATTTATTCATATTACAGCATTTTAAACATTCTTCTATTTTACATTTAACATGATATAATTTACAAAGTTTACAAAAAATATATTTTCTTTTTCTCTCACATTGAAATTTACTTCGACAATTAATACATTCATATTCAACAACACAAAAATATTTTGAAGTATTTTTTCGATAATATTTTTTTATATTTTTTGTTTTTATTTTTTGTTACAAAATAAGTAGAAAAAAAATAAGAGTTTAAATATTTTTTTCATTTCTCTGAGTTAGATTTTAAATATGTTTTATTATCATCATTTTTTTTTAATTAAAACTGCAACTAGCCATAGGCTGGTGTGCTAATAAAAATATCAAAGCTCATTGCTGCACATGAGGTGTGATTATTTTTACAGTATACTACTACCTTAACTAGTAACGAAGTAAAACAATAAATAGTAAAAATAAATAATTTTCAATTAAAAATAAATTTTTAAAAATATCAATTGAAAATGAATTTTTATATTATCAATTGATTTTAAAATAAAATTTTAAAAATAAATAATAAAATTTTTAAATCTTCGATTTTGTATAATTATTTTAGTAATTCTATATATAATTCAGATTTTAAAATTTCTCAACAAGGATAAAAATAAATTTTCAAAAACATTTATTGAAAATAAATTTTCAGATCAAAATAAAGAAAAGACTCTCTCAGATCAAGTAGATAATAATATTTTGTTCTAACCTTTGAAATGTATAAAAGCAACAACTTTTTGTGTTTTTAAAAAATTTTAGGCTTAGATGTCTTTACAGGTTAAAATAATAAATCGATTCACTATTTTTGTTATGATAACAACACCAATTTGATACTATTAATTGCTTTATTTTGGTTCCAAATTTATATTATTAACTTCTGATATTATTTTAATATAAACTTTGGCTTCATATAAACAAGTTGCTCTTATCAGCTAATATAAAAATAATACTCCAGTACTTTAAATTGAATATTATTGTGTTAAGTCCTTCCTTACAAGAGTAAAATAATTAGTATTCAAACTTCTATATTACCAAAATCATTAAAATAGATATTGATAATAATGATGTAATTTATAGAATAATGAAAATATCTCTGATTTTAACCTTTTAGAAAACAATGAACCTCATAATGTTTTAACTAAAAAAAAAACTTTAGAAAATCTTATTAAGAAGTCTACTAAAAAGTTTATTAGAGAACTAGCTATGAAAAAAATTAGAGTAACATTACTAAACCAAAAGAAAATAGATTTAGTAGTGTTTAGAAATATTTTGAAAAGGAAAATAGATATGACTTATGCAAAATAATTGTGCTTAAAAAAAGAGAAGAAGTAGAATATGAAACAAACTATAAGCATGATGGTGAAACTAGTAATATAAATAAAAACTATTAAAAGAGTTAATAAAAGTATTTAATCTATTCGATAAAATAATAACTTATTTTAGTGGTATACAATATGCAACTCTTTCTATCATTAATCTAAGCATTGAGGTATTGAAGTTCAAATTTGCTGATAGAGATACAGATGAATTTAAAAGGGTTATAAATAATGATGAACTTAATATAGAAGAAGGTTAGATTAAATTAAATTATTATGACAAATAATTCTTATTAATCTTGTTAAAATACAAATTTGTTTCAAATTTCAGATAAAATATTCTCTAATGATGAAGGTTTGGATATTGAAAAAAGCCCTAATGATTTGGATGTTTATTAGTTATCTACACATAGGCCTAAATCTTGTAATATACACCAACTCTCTTCTGAAACAATAATCTCAAAAGTTAGAGAATTCATATATAATTCCCTTTAGTATTACTGGCATAATTCAAAAAATATTTGATTAATAGCTACTTTATTGAACCCACAGTTGAAATCAATGAAGACATGGTCAGTAGATATATGAAACGAAACAATTAATGACCTATGTGATGAATTTAGGATCTGGCATAATATAGTCATGGCTAATGAATCAGTTGAAAATACTAGAGAGAAATCTGCAAGTTCATCCACACCTTTCTTTATGAAAAAAATATTTAGTTAATTATCTAAATGAAGCAGTTACACATATTCTATTACAAACTACTGATATTTACCAATAGTAGTATTCTAATCAAAGCACTTTTTCTACCCTAAGCAGAATTGCACATAAATACTTATCTATTCTTGCTACTTTTATCTCAAGTGAATAGCTTTTTTTTGATGCTGAAAATAAGTTACTAATAAAAGAATAAGCTTAGCACTGAAATAATTAATCAAATATTATTTGTTAAATAAAATAGTATATATTATACAAAGGCTTGGACTGGATAAAGAATATTAAAGATTATAGATCTTAAATATCTAAAGTAATCAAATAAAAATTTAAATTTATAAATATATTTTTTTTTTTATAATAAAAATTTTTAATTGTATATACGATATGATTGGCCTATATTTATGTTATCTCTTATTTCAATGCAGTCTACTCAGGTTATTGCCTAAAAAAATTTCTACTAATGTATCTATCGATCATTTAGATAATTTACAGGTTTACTCAGGTACTATTTTTTTGTATAGGTCTAAGCACTAAATAATAAAACAATTAAAATTTATATATTTTATTTCTTTTAATAATAATATAAGCTAATAATATATAATAATATAATATTTTATAAAAATTATTGTTATAAAATTAAAAATTAATAACTTTTGATCTATTAATCCAATTTGGATAATTTAACTACTAAAATAATCCTCTTATAGAAATGATTCTAATGAATTTAAAATCAACCAAATTTAATCACATGATCTTGAGATTGTTAATATTTTAGGTTATATTTATTGTAGTAAATATAATACAAATTATTAATCACCTAACCCTCTACAGATGAGGTTAACGGTTCAATTACAGCTGGTGGTAATTATCTTTATAACCTTCGGGAGCTTTCGAATGTGAAACCCTGTGGCGATAAGACCATATAAGTATATATTTGGCCGATAAAGAATTCTTGAAAGGAGCCCCGAGCCATGGAGAAGACTGAGCACTACATCTGACATGGGTCACAAAAGGTATTACTGCAGAAGGCTGTGCATATGAATTCATAATGAACAAGTTAGCACCAACAACCCTAAGGCGGCATTGGGATCTTGATTGAGAGGACGGCTGAATGCAGTAATATTCAGAAGTGGTGAGAAAAGCGGTGAACATAGTAAGAGGCTGTGGTAAGAGAATAGCTTTACCAAATATAGAACACCTCTGGCACAAGGAAACAAGGAAAATTGGCTAAAAGAAACCCCGAAAGTATAGAAGCAGACAATCCGGTAGTATAAAAATAAAGACAGACTAGGGAGTAATAGTCGCACAACCTATATAGGAGTCTATGACAAAACATGGCAGAGGTGCGGGTCCCAGGTTACTGGATTGTAATAGTAATTAATGAGGTACTTAACTCCCATTCTAAGGATCCAGACCCCTGTATCACCATACTAATAGGGAGTACTATAGAAGGATCGGTAGCCTAATTTGGTAATGTATGACGCGAATACCTGGATCGATGTGAAATAACACTCTAGTACGGCAGCAAGTGGCTTGAAATACGAGTCTTATAACCTGGCAGCACCTGGCTTGAGATACGGATTAGGTCTTTAAAGTAGCTCCCTAGAGATACCAAACTAGAAGCACTAAGGGCACTCACTTGAAAGACACCAATTTGGAAGTGGTACAAAAATGAATTAGGAGTAATGTGATAAGTACTGAGGGGTAGAAGTTGGCTGGTAGACATTGTATAGTAGTATATAAGCGGGATATATATGATAAATATAGGTTTGGGAACTATCCGGTGATTTAGTAATTGGTCTAATTGCAGCGTGGTTACTAAGAAGGTAAAATCTCATATAGCAGGTTATACATAGGTACTAAGTTAGCAACCGGGTGAGTCTTATTTGTAATAATTAGATAGTTGTAAATGTATATATATACATTTGTAACCACAATACCTTAGAGTACTAATAAATAGTTAAGGCAAGACTGCCGAATTAAAAAAAAAAAAATATACAAATTATTAATGATCTTGAGCAAGATTATGTAATTAGATTTAGCTGATTTTAGATTCATTAAAAACAACTCTATGAGAGGATCAAATTGGATCAATAGATCAAAAGTTATTGATTTTTTTTAAAGATTTTATTATTTTTTATTAATAAAATTTTTAATAATTTTAATTTTCTCTAATTGCAAATTCTCTCTAAATGCAGATCAAAGTACTGGTCCCAACAACATGTACTTGGAGGGAGTCGACTATATGTTTTTATATCTATATTATATTTGGATTTACTAACAATTACTTTATAAGTACCATATTTCACCAATAATTACTTACTAATAAGTTCATTTTACTAATAGTTTATTTTACTGAGGCCTATTTTACAAACAATATAATTCTGGTTAATATTATTAAAATTAGACTAGAATTAAAGTTAAGAAAGTACAGAAAATCATGTAATTTTTTCAGGAGAGGGGGGTTCCCATTTTATTACATTCTATATATATATATAGTCAAATAGTCAATAATATTAAAATTAAAAATTATAATATTATATTAATATCCGAATTTGAGTTACTTAATAACTAGTTATCCAAATAAGCTAAAATTTTTACTATAAATAAATATAATATCTGGCTATAACATATTAAAATTTCATTTAATTTAAATTAGTAGTTCTTAAGAAATTTGCTTAAAAACTATATATAATTTTGTTATATAAATTATATATAGTTTTTAAGTGATTTCTCAAGAACTACGAATTCAAATTAGTCAAAATTTTAATATGTTATAGCCAGATTTTATATTTATATACAGTATAAATTTTATCTAATTTGGACTAGTAGTTTTTGAGAAAATTATAGTCGGATAACTGTTAAATATTTAAATATATATATAGTTTTGGCTATAATTTTTTCGATTTTGGGTCAAAATCCCAAACAATGGATTATTGAAAGAACATAATACTGACCAAATTGGCCAGCATTA